GTTGATAACTGTTTTCACATACCCTCTATATTTTATCCATTTTACTAAGTAATGAGGCAATGTGTGGAAAAGGCAAATTGCCTTTTCTCTAGATTTGTGAGTATAGTAGGGGGTTATGGGCAAGAAGACAATAAAAATGCAATAATTTTGATTGTAAATCAAATTCATGATGGTGTGTGGGTGTTTTATAAGGGGAAGGAAAAAACTTAAAGTAAAAAGTCAAAGGCTAGAAGAAACTATCAATGAGGAGGAAGACTCCTTTTATTTGAAAGAAAATAATCTAAAATAAAAGAAGTAAAGAAAATATGGACTATCTCAGAACAAGGAGGCTAGGCATCAAAGCAACTTAGGGAGTACACAGTGCCAGATGGTGAGGTGATCCGAACAGGAAGATGAGGCTCTAGCCAGGTTTCCAGCTCTTCCGTCTATTGCTGTTTTAATTAGCCTTTCCTGTTCCATATTTTAAGTCCTAGAACATAACTGGCACATTTCCATGTTTTAAGTAATTTGGTAATTCCAGGTGCTTTAAAATTTTTATGAATTATTAACCATTACACAAGATTGGACTCATGAACATTTCCTCATTCCAGGCCATCGCTGTGTTATTATATGGACAAACTCTCTTAATTTATATCTTCTGTCTCCCTCTATCTCTCTATCTGTCTGTCTGTCATCTTTTTCAGCCTTCTTTCCTCTTCTCTCTTCCTCAGCCTCTCTTTCTTTTATTATATTGAGCACCAAAGATCTCAGACAAAGTCACAATCTCCTGTACTTAAGAATGTGACTGCAAATTTAAAGACATAATTAAGGTAAAATGAGACTTTTAACATAGATTCTAATCAAACACAATTGGTGTCACTATAGAAAATGATGATTAGAACACAGACATTGTACATGCCTAGAGAAATGCCATGGTAGGGCACTTAAGTAAAAATTCTTTTACGTAAGTCATCCTGTAAGTGGAATTTTGTTTTGTTTGGCATATCTAGCTAAACACTATAGTATATTTGCATATCTATATACACACAAATTATTTGAACATATATAAAATTTATAAACATAAAATATATAAGTATAAAAATCCATAAATATTTAAGTATATATGTTTAAAATATATTCTGTTCCTAACACTTTCATAGGTCAATTTTCTTTAGCATTCTGATTTTTAAAGGTAAATTTCACTATAAAGAATACAGGTAGGCACTTGCTGTATAGCATAACTTTATCAGAAATATCTATTTATACTTTTTTACTTTAATATATTAATCGTTTTAAGCTTTTTAATATTTCTCCAGATATCAAAAATATTTCTTCGTCGTATTTCTACTCTACAATGTTGATTTAAAAACTCAACCACACATTGAATCACTTAAGACTTTTGCAAACATATGTGATTCCTAACGCTCAAAATTTTTAAATATATTCATTGTTACTATCCTGGGATTTTCTCTTTCTACAATATATTCTAGATTTACCTCTAGGAAAAGATGTGAGTACTTAACTCTTCTATGTTTCAGGCATTGCATTTCTGAGCACATCCCTAACAGTACTAGAGGACACAGCTAACCCCAAATAAAACACAGCTGTTTTAATTGGAACAGGTTATGACTGTTCCAATTGCTTTTACCTTGTGCCCATTTCCCTTCGACAATGTGCACTAACTCCAACTGATTCACAAGACATTCTTTTTTTTTTTTTTTTGGTGAGACCATATCTCACCTAGAACTACCTATGAGACCAGGTTGACTTCAAACTCACAGAAATACTCGTGCCTCTGCCTCCCAAGTGCTGGGATTACAGGTGTGCGCCGCCACATCCAGCTTTGTTTTCAGATTCTTGAGGAACCTCCATAGAGGCTACACCCATTTAAATTCCTACGATCACCCCAAGGTCCAAATGAGGAGCAGAAGGAGGGAGAACATGAAAAAGGAAATCAGGACCGCAAGGGGTGCGTTCACTCTCTGATACAAGGGGACTGATCTAATGAGAGCTCACCAAGGCCAGCTGTACTGGCACTGAACGAGCATGCGATCAAACTGGAGTCTCCGAACGTGGCTGACATGGGGGCTGACTGAGAAGCCATTGACAATGGCACTGGGTCTTTCGTCTGCATGTACTGGCTTTTTGGGATTCTAGTCTGCTTGGATGCTCACCTTCCTAGACCTGGAGGGAGAGGAGAGGAACTTGAACTTCCCACAGGGAAGGAAACCCTGACTGCACTTAAGACTGGAGAGGGAGGAGGAGAGGGAGTGGGGGGGAGGAGGAGAGGGAGTGGGGGGAATGGGAGGACATGGGGAGGAGGGGAGGAAGTGGAAATTTTTATAAACAAATAAAAAAAATTACCTAGAATAATGAAAAATAAAAGATATCCAAAAAAAAAAATTCCTACGAACAGTGTAGAGGAATACCAACATGCATTATGTTTTCTTTCCTTTTTTTCTTTTCTTTAAAAATATTTATTTTTCTTTATTTTATTTTGAGACAGGGTCTCACATAGCACAATCTGGCCTTGAACTTACTATGAGGCAACGTATGGCACCGAACTCTTGAACCTCCACTTCCACCATGACTGGCTTTGCTAGTTTTTTTTATTTTTTCAAATATAATTCCAACTACAATGAAATGTAGTCTCAACTGGTATTCCCCCCGACAGCTAAGGATGTTGAACTTTTCCCGCATATATTTACTGGCCATTATTTTTTTTTAAAACTATCCAATTAATTTCCTAACTTATTGCTTGGATTCTTTGGTTTACTTATTAGTTCCTGATATAGGAATGATTCCACTGCCAGATGCATTGGAGGCAGAGACTTTGCTTCCATTTTGTGAGCAGTCTCTTCACTCTGATGACTGTTTTCTTTGCTTTGAAGATTTTCAGTTTCATGCATTTCCATTTGTCACTTGTGTGTGCACACACAAGTATACACAAAAATGGGCGCACACACACCCATGTATATTTGAGGAAGGCCAAGGAAGACCTCAAGTGCCCTGGCCTCTCACTATCCACTTCGTTCTCTTGAGGTCACTCATTGCATGTGAGCTCTCTCTTCCAGCGAGGCTGGCTGGCCAATGGTCACCTGTCTTCATCTCAAGGCTGGGTTTACAGGCACTGCTGTGAAAATCCCTCCCCTGGTGAGACAGAAACAGCTTCTGTCCCAACAGTAAACCAAAGTACTATTCTGCCCAAGTTCACCCTGGGGAGCCAGAGAGTTTATTGAGCTTACACGCAGAGCATGGGAAAGGGGTTACTGGAGGAGTCTGGGTGATGCCCCAAAGCAGCTGCACTTAGAAAGTCTTCAGTCAGCATGGATGATGGCTTTCCCACAGGCACATAGATGGGATCCCATCTCAGTTCATCTTCTCAGGCCCATATACCCTAGCTAAGGCCTCTTGCAATGAGAGCGGAATTGCATACAAATGTCTGGGAGAAATAACTGGAATCTCAGGTGAGGGTTCAGCGTCCCTTCCAACCCCCTCCTGTAGCTGGCTAGAAAGGGCAGTCCACATATTCAGTAGGCTACTGTAGGCTGTGCAACATGTTACCTCAGGACAGGGGTCGGTTTAATCGTCTGTCCTGCTCCTACCAATCAGCAGGGGATGAATGTCTATGTGTGTGGCAGGGATGCAACCACCCACTCTTCATCCCCCAACAGTGCTGGCCTTGATGGTCTGACAAGACTCTGGGAATGTTCACTGTTGCAGCGGAGAGTGATCCAATCCTTTGGGCTGGGCCCTTCAGATTGCTGAGTCATTTCTTTGAAAGTGACCACATAGTTTTCTGGGAACAAGCAGAAGACTAGTTTGTGTTTTGTTTTCCTTGGAGGAAGGCTTCCCCCACTAAGTAAATATTAAAGAAACAGAAGGTATGGAGGAGAAGAGATGGCTAGGTTTTCCTTGCCTCGGGTCCCTTCCAGATGGCCCAGCTGTGACGCACTGTCCTCTGCTTCCTGAGTGTGGACAGCACAGCGACCACTGTTTCCTGCTGTCACACCTTCCCCGACATGATGGACAACATGATCCAAAGCCAAAGGTGAGAACTGCCCTTCATCCAGGAGAGGGCTGTGCGCTAGCATCCATGACTAAATGGTATTGAGTTGACGATCTTCTCTGCAAGGCAAGGCTGACTTTCAGGTTAGGGGTGGGAATCAATGACTTCTTTTGTCCACTGAGAAAAGTAAATTCAGGAATCTGAAAAAACTCTTGAAAACTTTAAATATGAAAGTAGTCAGGGGAAGGGTTAGAAAGACTGCAAAATAAAGTTGAAGAAACATCTCAAAAAGTTAGTAACAGACATGGGAAAAGGAGCAAAATGAAGTGTGGGAGGTCGTGGGAGGGGGTCTAACATCTAAACAGGTAGAACTTCATTAACAGCCTGGGGGGAATTCTCTGGTGGCCAAGGCTGCCATGGAACATTAATCAAGCTCCAAGCAAGCACTATGGGGTCCGAGACAGTGTCTCCTCTGTGGAAAATAATTCAAGACCGAGGTAACTGTGAGAGCCATTCCAGGTGCTTTTCTTTCTTCTTGCTTGTTTATTTATTTATTGAGGCAGGTTCTCACTATGCAGCCTTGATCTCAGAGATCCGCCTGCCTCTGCTGACCGTATGCTGGGATTGAAGGTGTGCGGACTGTATGCTGGGATTGAAGGTGTGCGGACTGTATGCTGGGATTGAAGGTGTGCGGACTGTATGCTGGGATTGAAGGTGTGCGGACTGTATGCTGGGATTGAAGGTATGCACCACCACACCAAGCTTTCAACACATAACTTTCTATACTAATGTGGTCACCTGGTCACCAGAGGTCAGAACAGGAGGGAGGCTGTCTGGTCAGAACACATGGAGGCAATTTTCTTCTTGAGGATCCAGAGAGCCTTTCGGTGTCATGTGGCAAGGACTTAACCTAAGCACAATGCCCAGTCCTCTCTACTGTGTGCCCGAAAATAGGAAATTTTTACTCTTTAGGAATAAAGACTATGGAAGTCACAAGCTCACTCTAGAAGTATGAAAATGGCATGGAAAAGGAGCACCATGGGTTCATTTTTAATCGTTTTTAAAAAATTATAACAATTTGTCATGTTCACACCAAATTTAGTCCAAAAATCATGCAGAAAAATTAGATAATAGATAAGAACATTCACATTAAAAGTAGGCAAAATATTTTAACAAAAAATTATCTAAAATATGTAAAATTTCACTATGAAATGCTTTGATTTGTATGATTTAGTATTTATACCAACCCAATTCAGTTGCTTGAATCTCTATTTTAGAATATCTATTTTTAAAAAAATATCTATGCTATAAACCAGTACATGCATATCCACATGTAAGCTACCCTGCCTTCTTCAAGTTTTCTGGACTACACAAAAAACCTGGATCTCAGGTAGTAATATAGCCTATGGCTATCAACAGCAGCAGGGTTGGGAGGCTTCACATCATGGCAGTGAATCCCTCACTCACATTCTAGGAACTGAACCAAACACAGAATGCCTTGGCATTTATTAGTTCTGTTAACCCTGTAAACTGGCTCTGTACTTGGTTGCTGTGTTCTTCTGTGTGTTACACAGACATGCTGACTTTGCAATCTATGCTTTGTAAGAGAGCAGGTAATTCCAGCACTGAGGAAACCATATAGTGAGGCATGGGGGATGATGTCAGCGGCACCCTTCCACTCTTGTTTATCCTGACTGTGGCTTTCAGTCCTGCATTGAGGCCTCCTTGTATATCGGTTTCTAGTGTGTCACCAACCATCACGCAGTCCCCTGGCTGCACTCCAAGGAGATCACAGCAGTGATAAAATATGGAAGGTGCTGGTTTCTCCTCTTTCTGCTCTCCTCCTATAACAATAGCATCAAAATAAGACTGGCAGGCGCAAGCCTCGATCTTCTCCCTCTGGGTCTGTCTGTCACCGTTTGTTAACAACAGTAGGCGGACCTCTTTGCGAAGTTCAGCGAGCATGGCTTTGACGTCTTCTACTAGGATCATATGCTGTAAACGCGTAGATTTCCACAGGCAATAACATTCTTCTGCCAATTTCCTGTGGTTAGCACCACCTTTGGTCTCCTGGATGGCTTCTTCCCAGTGTGCAGTCCTCACGTCTGTAATACAGGCACTGTAAGGATGAAAGCATTCCTTGCTGAGTTTAACTTGAACTTTATCACAGATGACTTTTGCCTCTTCTCTGTAGTGGTATTTTGATTGTAAGAGCTTTATCACCTGATGAAGCATAGGACCCTTAATACTGAAAGGGATGGCTTTTATAAGTGTGTTTTCCACATCTGGTACTCCTTCACTTTCTCGTTGAAGCTCCATCATGCCTCTCCGGCTCGCTTCTGCCATGTCGATGACCGTGTTGTCCAGGTCAAAGAAGACCGCGCGCACCCGACTAAGCCCCATCGCTTCGCCGCTCAAGCCGCGCGCGAGCCACCACAAGACATTCTTAATACTCTATATATTAAAAAAAGTGGTTGCAACTTTCAAACAACATACATGTTGATTTCCAGGTATAACAACCAGTTAATGCCCAATTCTGCTGTGTAAGGCTTTAAAAACGCTTAAGTCCAGCTTTCAAATAACTTCTAAAATTGATTTCTCAGAGTGAAAGGGGAGTTCCTATTGTTGCCACAGAAAAGAAAAATCTCTATTTACACTGTTAAAGTTCATGTTTCATAAATTAACTCTCCAGCAGTTAGACTGTTCTGGCTAATGTATACAAATGCCACAGAATCTAAGCTAGGTACTTAAAAATGATCTAAAATAAAAATCCTAAGTTCAGTGTGTCTTTATGGTTACAGAATTGTTAGTTGGGCTATTTGAAGTCTCTGTTTGGTATCACTTAGACTCTTTTCAAATTTCCACTAATTTTATGCGGAGTCTAATGTTTCATGAGATCTCTTAGATTGTGCTGAGTTTGTTCATTTAGCACACATGATACCACTAACCAGTAAGTACTGTCAATGATCAAACATTTCTGACACACATCATTCTCAGATATATTCCTTAGAAAACTCAAATGAATATCTCCAATAGGTCAGCTGAAGCATAGATTCAATGTAAGCTTGTCTCAATATTACAAACAGGTTAAAATCTAAGAACCCTAGCAAAATAAATAAAATAATTTCAAACTTTCCACAACCTGGACATCAGTCCTGTACAGTGCTGTCTAGTTTTCCCATTTCATTGACTTGTGAAGAACATTCTGTGGCTTTACTCTGAATCACATGACTCATTTTGGCCTTGTCTTTCCATATCTATGTAAGTAGGTGACTTCTGTAGTTGATCTATTCCAATCTATAAATTCTGTACCTTCAATATCTGTTGAAATATCCAATAAGGAAAGAAAGAAAAAATTAATGGTGATTTACACTGATAAAAATTATTCTAGCTTTCATTATAAAATGTATGGGATTGCTACTTTAGGGTCATACATTGTGTGTAAAATATATGTACATAACTATAAATGGATTTCTTGAATTGGTTCATCCCTCTTAAATTGGAGAGTCATGAAAAGACCATAGGAAATGTAGATATTTGATAATGTTGCTGACCTAATATGATATTCTTTTGTGGTAAATATTCTTTATAGATTAAATATGCTCTCTAAAAGTTCAAACATGCTTATAGTACATTCTTGATGTGGGAAGTCCTTCTGTATATGTGTTGTTTTGATTGGTAAATGAATAAAAAAGCTGCTTGGGCCTATGACAGGGCAGAATAGAGCTAAGCAGGAACACTAAACTGAATGCTGGAAGAAAGTAGGCGGAGTCAGGGACACAACATGTAGGAGACAAGACACCTGGAAACTTTACCAGTAAATCACAGACCTTGTAGTAAAATACAAAATAATAAAAATAGATTAATTTAAGATGTAAGTATTAACTAGAAATATGTGCATGTTAATAGGCCACGCAGTGATTTAATTGATATAATTTCTGTGTGACTATTTTGGGTCTGGGCAGCAGGAAACGAACAAGTAGTCTCCCCACCAACACATTCTGTTTTCTTTTGCCCACACCCTCTTTAACTCACTCCCTATCATTCCCTTCTTCCATACAGCTTCTTTTTCCATATTTATGTCTTTTGTCTCATTTTATAACCAACCAATATTAACCAGGCTATTCTGTGGGACTCCATATTTAAGGCTGTCCATTGGCACTCTATGGGTTCCCCATTTAGTACACAAACTAAAGGCAATGACTATTCTTCTTTGGAATCCACCTGTTGCCAATAGTTAAGCAGTGAGCTCTTCTCTGATCCATGAGAGTAAACATTTTTAATAAATGAAAGGACAAAAATTATAGCAAATATAAAAAGAAGTAACACAATTCTTTGCTGTCATCATCAAGTATTCTGAACTGTGCACAATTGTGTGTGTTTCTTTCTATATAGATAGCCTATGTGTGTGTTTTTTTAATACAGATTTCCAGTGAGATGGATTTGATTAACTCCACATTGCTTAAGAAACTTGAGTGATGCCTCAGTCTCTGAACTGTCACTAGGCTCTGGGGGAAGTTTCAGATCCATTTTGACATGGGACCACCATCAGGTGTACTGTATGTCAATGTCTGCAATGTCCTCATAGAGTTCAGGGTTGTTTTCATTTCTGCCATCTAGGACTGTGACTTGCTTCTTACTCTTATTCCTCTCCATTTTTTTCTTTTCTTTTTTTTCCTCTCCATTTTTTCATGTATCCCCCTTGATCTTTCTTCATTAAATTCACAAGAAGTAAAACATTGACGATTATTTCTTTCTAGCAGGTAAATCACTATTATTTTTGAAGATGTCACCTCTCATCTAAATACGTGTTATCAGCTCTGCTATAATGATGCTAATGCATTCTATTATCTCCACGTCTCTGGCAGATTATAAATTATCAGCTCCACCCTTGAATATAGTAGATTATAAAAATCTCAAAAAGTTTAGGGTTGAAGTAGTAATAGCTTCCTGGCACTGTTATGAGTTCCATGGTGAAACAGTTGCATAAAAAGCATCCTCTCATTGAGTAAGCTTTTAGGTCAGACTCCTTTACCAGGATTGTCAATGTGAGAATATCTTTGCTACAGTTATCAGCTTGAATTCCAGTTCCCTCGTCACCATCTAACATTTCTCTGGCATGATTTAGATGGATTTTGACAGTATTCCAATATCAGAGCATATTCTGTCAGTCTAAAACATATTCAGCAGCTATAATCACAAACATCTAAATTTATCCAATTTCATTACTTGGATGTGATTTTTTTTCTTTTCCCACATGCCAAACTAACCCATTTTTCCTGCCTAGTGGCACAAACAGATCCAAAAGTGTCCAACCTGAAAATGTTGAGATAGATTTAATATTTTCAACTCGTTATTCATGTGACTATACATCCTTAAAGTATTCAAAATGATATAGAAAACATTCTTAAAATATTAGAATGTAGATAATAACCATTTCAATCACACTCTTACACAAGGAAAAGAGTGATGTAGAGAACATAGATGTCTTATTGAGAATTATACTTCTAATGTGATTCAATGATTGCAGGTACACTACCTTTTTTCATTAGTCAATATTAGTTTGATGGAGTCGAAGTTATCTAAATGCATGGATATTGATCACATGTCAAGTAGTAGTCATACCTATCAGTTATTCACCAATTCAAAAAATCATCTCTTTATATATAAATTAGTATAAGTAATATGAAGATTATGGAAGTAACAAAATCCTCTCTGTATTGCAAGTAATAGTACACATATTTTAGGCAATTATTATAGGGGTTTTCTTATTAGACCAAATATAAAGTAAATGCTGTTTGAGGGAGTTGGAGATAAGTTCTTTCAATGTAGCTTTGACTGTCCTAAAATTTACTATGCAGACCAAGTTGGTCTCAAACTCACAGAGATCCACCTAATTCTGCCTCTGTGCTGGTATTAAAGGAATTCGCCACCATGCCTGGCAAAACAATGTCTTTGTAACCTAAAAACTTCAAGTTCTTCACATTGTTTATCATGAAACTTTGACAATATATTAAACAGCATCAGGATGTGATCAGGACTTGTGGGGTTTTAAGCTTCCCAAGTCTGAAAATGATACTAAACTGAAGGTGATGGGGAAAATATGAAGTGCGAGTAGTTGAAGAAGAAAAAACAATCAATGAGGAAAAATTCCTTCATAAATCCTTCAAAACGAACTTGTAATCAATTCAGGATAGAAAATATGGAAATGCAACATAATTAAATTCATGATCTTGCCTCTTGAACTACTTCAAGGAAATTCATTTTTCCATGATCATCCTGAGTTTCTGGGCCCTCCACTGCATATCTGTTGTTTGATTTTTTTCATTGATTATTAGTTTAGATAAATATACAAATGCTTACTCTCTAAATACAACCTGCTGTGTCCATTCAGTGTTGCTTGATTGTATATGATTTTGGAGCTGACCTGTTGATATTGGATAACCGAGTTTTTCGTCTCTACGAAAGACTAGTTCTCCCTCTGTGCAGTTTTGAATTGACTGTAGCTTGTGTTCTAGGGATGATGCCCTGGGAGATTTCCCCTTCCCTCCCACTTTAGCATATATATATTAGTACTGTTAAGTACAGGTCTTGTTTAGGCAGTCATATTGTTGCAACTTCACGGGTGCAGCTTCTCTGTCAACTGGCACCAATTCTTGTTGATATAGCATGTAGGAATGTTCTCTGTAGTCATTAGCTTCCAAGATTGTAAAATGTCTAATAAACTTAGCATATATAATGCCAAGTACACACACTGTAGCCAGCTAGTGATGTCTTCTTGTGTCTTAAAGGGAAATTTTGCTCTCATTTTGAAAGAAGGCTTTGAAATCTCTTTGTAGCCCTATGTAATGGCTCTTAGGCTGCTGGTCCCATGAATCTAAACTTCCTGTCTTAACAGTGGTACATACAACAGAGCTTAATTTGAAGCAAATCTAACTGCTAGTGACAATAAAAAGTCATGGCCTATTCCATCAAATATGACCATTTCTAATTTACAAAGTTTATGGAATTGCCTCTGTGACTTAGGAAATAGATAACATCAGAGGGCACTAAGGGTGATTTAGATGCCAGAACAAAAGGAAAATGGACTCCATATCTGTTCAAATGTCCCCTCCACACTTGGAGTTTAGATATGTGCATCTTTGAAATTAATCTCTATGGCTGTAATACTTTCAATGCTGTTAATAAAGTCATGTGTTTACTAATTGGATCCACTGCAGTCTTTTTAAATGGCCCTTATTAGATTTTCACTTAGGAAGTAGTGAAATGGGATCAAAATTAATTTGAAAGAAAGCTGTGAAAATCTGACCTGATATACTGCAGTAGGGTGAAACATTTAAAAATTGATTACATGAGTTAAACACAGGATGTTGAGAACCTACTTATTATTTGGGATATAGAATCCAAAAACTTTATTTGTAGAAACATTC